ATTGAGTCTTGGTGCTTAAGGACACCATGTCCCTAGCAACAAAAATCTATTAAAATGTCCCTAGCAACAAAAATCTATTAAAGTAAAAGTATGGCTTTATGAATAATCTAATATAAAAATGTTAGAACTAGCTTTTCCTTGTCCCCTTTTTTTATTTATGCTTTTATAAGAAAAGGAAAGAAATGTTTTTATAAAAAAGTCTTTCATTCTTTAATAACTTATAAACTAACCTTTTGGAAAATGATAAAAGTCCTTATGATCCAAAATGTTGTACATCACTTAATAAATCACATCATATGATATATTATGTTACATGCTTAATAAATAAGATTTTTATTATTAATAAATTATTATTTTCATTTTTTATAAGAAAAGGAGAGAAAGATTTTTATAAAAAAATCTTTCATTTTTTAATAACTTATAAACTTTATTTTTTTTGGAAAAAGACAAAAGTCCTTATTACGTGACTTGCTTATGAAAATAGTTATTTTCAAATAAGACAAAACTTCAAAAATGGTCCCTGTGGTTTCAAAACTTTTAACAAATGGTCATTTTCACTAACCCCGTTAGCTTTTGGCCGTTAAGTGAAGGGCATTTTTGTCATTTCACTATTATATGGACCATTTATGAGCTTTTTGTTATTTAAAAAAAACCGTTTTAATATATAATGGGCCCCACATATTTCTCTCTTATGAAATCATCGCATATAATAACAATGTTTGACTGAAAAAGTCAAAATTGAACGTCGATTTGAACAAGAGAAAGGACGACCACCATCCCCTCAATCATCTTCCACCTCTATATTCTTGTTTTCCTTAAACTTAAATTTCTTCAAGAATCGACCCTCAACCCCATTATAATCAAAACTTGTGTCTTGGGACTCAAATGCAGCATCGGGGGCCATGTTATCGGTCTGGATTTAACCAACGAGACGATATCTAATGCTATTGATGATTCCAGTGCTCTCTTCGGTTTAAAGAATATTGAGACACTGAATCTGGCTGGAAATACATCGATATCTAGTGCTATTGATGTTTCCAGTGCTATTGTTGCTCATGATTAAACTTTCGAACTAATACCCTCTATTGTTGGTGATGCACGCAAGAGCTGCTCCAACCTTTTCTACTCCAATCTAAGTATCAGCATCACCATCTGCAGAGACTCAATTTCTAAATGTCGATTTAGGATTCGTAATCTGGGAGGGGTTGTTTTTTACGAATCAACCGGGATTATGTATTGAGAACCTACAGGCTCCTTTATGCACAATTATCTCAAATACCCATCGCCAAATTTTGGTTGCCTACAACCAACTATTTCAATCAAAGGTGTTTAATCTTTCTTTTATTTGACTCAATTTCTTCAATTTCGTATTTCCCCTCTTATGCATGATCTTTTTATTTGTTGAACTGGATGTATGAGGGGAAGTTTTAATTTGCATGCTCTAGATATTGATAGTTTAATAAATGGGTTGGAAAGTGGGGAAGATAAGTCATGCAGTGAAGGTGTTCGACAAATTGCTTGAGAGAACATCTTTGCCCACATTCAGAATCTTGAGACACTTGCATCAGATTTTCTAGTGAACGGATCCCTTCAAAGTTTAGTGAGAGAGAGTGTGTGGTTGGGTTCTTGATGGTTGTCGGTAACTGGAGAGAGAGAGAGAGATAGAGAGAGAGAGAGAGAGAGATTTAATATTAAATAATTATATATATTTTTAAAAAAAGGCATAACTTCATAAATGGTCCCTGTGATTGTGAAATAACAAAAATGTCCTTCACTTAACGGCCAAAAGTTAAAGGAGTTAGCGAAAAGGACAATTTGTTAGAAGTTTTGAAACCACAGGGACCATCTGTGAGATTTTTTAAACTTAGGGACTAAACTTGATATTTTCACAAACCATAGGGACCATTTGTGAAGTTTTATCAAACAATTTTCAATTAATTATAAGAGTTTATTGAATAATTATTAAAAAATAATCAGTATCAAGTTCTTAATGTTCCCTTTGAGATCGTATGTTAATTAGTAGTATCATTTTAATATAACTTTTGAACATTCAACATTTTTCATTTTATTTTAATGTTAAGATAAAACAACACTTTTCTTAATTATTTTATAGAAAAACACCAAAACAACTAAATTCCGACAATGTATTTCACAACTTAGTCTACAAAATGGGCCAATAGTGGTTCCCCATATTTAAGCCAAAAAATTCGAGGTTGGTTAATTTATCTAATTTTCATTTCACAAAAGCTAAGAAACGGTCACAACTAAGGAACGTTCACAACTCGTGATGATTAAAGAGGATAACTGGCTTATTCGAGAAACTTTCATTATGTTATAGTTCAAAATATGCACATGTTTTTTTAAGAAATATGGACACTTTTGCTATAATTTAAACATTACTCACCATGATAAATGCATTTTAGTCTTTGAAATGTTTTTGTCACCATTAGAAATACTATTTTATGTAATTTTTAGTGTTTCATGTTGTTTAGGGCATTTTAAAGTTTACACTGCGAAATGCTCTAAAAATATATGGAAAATACGAAATTAATATATTTTTTTTTAGCATTTTAGTTTTTTGTCATCAATAAAAATTGCATAATTCTTGTATTATTTTCAAATTATTTTTGTCATCAATAAAAATTGTCTAATTCTAGTATCATTTTCAAGACAATCTTGTTTTTCGATAAGTTCAAAAGACATTTAGAAATCTCTTTTTCCTAACTATTTTTTTCTTAATATCATTATCTCATTTCATCATTTTTATCCGTACTAAGACATTTATAAATCTATTTCTCCAACATTTTTTTTTCTTAATATCATTATCTCATTTCATCATTTTATCCTTACTACGAGAGCATCTTTACGTGAATTAATTACCTAAGACCATTTTGAAATCATCTTTTGGTCCTTTTAAGCGTGTTCATAACTTTAAAAATATAATAAGGTAGAAGTCTATTGATTGGAGAATGAGTTAAGATGATGTTCTTGGTCTTCACAATGATAATCACAACCAATCGAAAGAGGTTACAATTGATTTACCTTTTCTCGAATTTGTTACATCATCTAATACTAATAGACATTTTATTGATAAAAAAATTATAAGGAAATGATTGATTTTGTGTGAACCATTATACTTTTATCTTTTTATAGAAGTTGCATAATGTAGAGAGGAGAGTAATAACGATGAAAATTTATAAAAATGAAATTAAATTTGGCAATTTATAAATTTTATTGGATTTATTTGATAAAATAGAGCAAAATGGAAACAAAATCCCCAATTAACAACCAACTAGCCAACAACAAACCCTAACAAAATAATCGACTTCTCTGAAACAAAATCCTCCAGTCACCACCCCTAAAATGGCCCTAATTAGGGTTCATGTTCATCTCCTTCCCGGAACTCACCCCCTACGATTCACAAATTTCCAAACGCATCCGTCTCTCCACTGCAATAAAATCCCACCAAAACTTCGAATCTCATGCTCCAGTCCCAATTCAAAAAGCATCAATGATATGGAGCTCGCGATGGATTTGTCAACAGAGATCGAAAGGATGAAAATCCAGATGATACAAGCTCAGGAAGCCATGAAAACGAGCAGGAAGCTCTTGTATGCAGAACTGTGCTTGTACCTTGGATTGGGGAAAGAGGAATTGAGGAGAAAATGGGAGCGAATGGAGGAAGATGACAAATGGGTTTTGGCTGAAGAATTCGTATCAGATTGGAGTTCCAATTTTCATCCATTGTCTGCTAAATCCGTTAAGCAATTGGTCGATCAACACTTATTTCAAGATGGCAACGACCACGACAATGGTAATAACAAGGATAATAACTCATCTCAAGATTCTTCTTCTTCTTCTTCTTCGTTATTGTTTAGTGGATTGAAGAAACTCATGGGATTTCCAGATGATAAATGAAGGGAATTTATTTATAGTTATTTTCAATTTCAAGAATTTCGTGATGATCTCCATGTTAATTGAGTTATAGTTTTTACCTTAAGCATTCATGAGTTCAAACTTCAAAGTGGATCCTTGAAATTCTGATTGTGCATTCAACTATACAAGTTTGATATTTATCATTGTACTGCATGTTCAATTATAGATTCACAATATATGTGCTTGCCATTGTTGGTTTGAAGATGCATTTATGAGTTTTGTGCTGTTGATGCAATGAGTATAATTTTTTTCTTTTAAATATGTTTTATTGCACTTATGCAAAATTTAATGTATTTAGAAATTAAATGGTTAAATTGTATGAGAAATGAAATACTGAAGTGGTAATATAAGTTTTTTAGAACTTGTTTATAGTAAACTCACAACATGTCACACCAAATGTGTATATGAACACCAAATGCTAATAAAGTATGTTGTTAATAAACTCACTACAAAGTACATCTTCAAAAACTCACCAAATGCTAAGCAACAAGAATACAACCTTTTGGTATGTGTATAAAATACACTTGCATTAACTCAACGATAAAACCATATTTGTATTCCATATAATAAAAAACACCACATTTGTGAATGTGGCTTACAATATAGTTAGCATAAAAGACATCAAAAGCTTTTACATTAAAAAAAGTAAGTTTTTGGCACAAAATGGTTAACATTAAAACATTTTAACACCAAAATCTTTCCCACCTTTTATTATCAACAAAATATGTTAACATAAAAAACACATTTTAACACCAAAATCTTTCCCACCTTTTATTATCAACAAAATATGTTAACATAAAAAACACATTTTAACACCAAAATCTTTCCCACCTTTAATTGTTATGCTTGAAGGTTGATCAAGATAATCAATGTGATCCATATGTTGTTTCTATTAATTTTTGTGATTGCCCTTGATCAAATAGAACAAACTATGAGTTTAAGGGTTCAAAATGTTCTTGGGAAGAAATAAATTACGTAGCATTGACAACTCATCTAAAAAAAGTGAAGAAAAAGTTACATTTACCTCTTAACTGTAAAAACCAATTGTAGTTGATTGCAAATTTGCAATGATAAAACAAATACAAGAAAATAGGGACGAAAAAAAAAAACCCAAAACAATACATTAGCCGATGAACAATAATTTTATATTTGAGGGTAGATTTTGTAAATGTTGGTTGGAAAACACTAGAAATTATCCACATGGTGACGTGGACTAATGTAGTTCGATCTTTAACATGCTCTAAAATGCGACACAAAACAAACTGACGACGACGTTAAAAGCGAGTCACTGACTCAGAATCGAATCGGTCTTTCTGGTTACCCCTCAAATGACGTCAATTTTGGGTTCTAGTTCTACCCCTTTATCTCGATTTCTCCCAAAATCAATACTCAATCGCAGCAACCTCTTCCCTTTATCGAAATCAACTCGACATTCGTTCACGAAAATCGTCAATTTTGGCGGATTAGGGCTTGAATCTGGTAGCCGGGTTTCATATCGAAGCAAGAGAGGGTTTAGAGGTGGAATTATGGCTATGGCGGATTCCGGTCCCGTTCAGAAATCAGAGGATGAGTGGCGTGCAGTTCTATCTCCTGAACAGTTTCGTATCTTGAGACAAAAAGGAACCGAGTAAGTTTTTCGTTCTCCAATTCTGAAGTTTTTGGTAATTTGTTGATGGAATTGAAAGATGAATGAATTGTTGGAATTGAATTTGAGGAACAGGTATCCAGGAACAGGTCAATATAACCATTTTTATGAAGAGGGAGTGTACACTTGTGCAGGATGCAACACTCCTCTTTACAAATCAACCACAAAGTTTAACTCCGGTTGTGGGTGGCCGGCGTTCTATGAAGGTCTTCCCGGAGCTATAAACCGCCATGTGAGTCGTTTTTCTGATCAAAAAGTATAATTTTTTCTTCCTAATCTTTATGGGTTAATTACTTGTATGGATGTTGATATAGGCTGATCCAGATGGAATGAGGGTGGAGATCACGTGCGCAGCATGTGGAGGGCATCTTGGGCATGTATTCAAAGGTGAAGGTTTTCGTACACCAACAGATGAACGCCATTGTGTTAATAGCATCTCCCTTAAATTTACGACTGGAAATTAAATAATTAGTTGAATTAAATAATTAGTTGTTCTTGTTCTTGGTCATATGTTTTTATGAGTTTGATATGACCTATTGTTGAACTTTGGGTTTTGTTGTATTTATAATGAAACTGTCCTTGAATCTACTTTCATAACCTGTTATAAAGCAGTTATTTTTATTAAAAAAAAGAAAAAAAAATTATGTGTTATTTGCCCATCATTTTTCCCCATGTTGAATATTAGAAAGAAGGGTTATTGTCATTGTAACCCAATAAACTTTCATATATTGGTTTAAATGATTCCTCGTTACTTTTTTTTTGGTAGTTTAGGGGTATAAAATCTACTTTTACCTGCTAAAAAAGACCCAAGACTTCTTATTACCGGTGGTTTTGATGACGTGATTTTTTTCACAAGTTATAAGATTAAACTAAAATCTACATCACAAATTATCCATCCTCAGAAACATAATATATGGACAATAATACCCTCGTCTCATTTTACCAACTATACCCACAAAGACTTTATATGTTCATGTTGAAGAACACCCACCTTCCAACACCTTCATTTGGGAGCTTGGGTTCCTTAAATCATCGGCAACAAAATCCCCCTAAATCGATTGTAATAAGGTATTTAGAAGCAAGGAACAAACATTTCCACTGTGATTAGGCGATTGATTATCCTGGAATTTGAGTGAAAAGATGATTGATTATCCTAGAATTTGAGTGAAATTTTAAATATTTAAATAAATTCCAGGCTCTGTTTATGTTCTATAATGATGTTCATGTTCATGAAGATCCTTAAACCGCCGATCATTTCCACCACCTATCGCCTACCGTCCACCTCCCAGTCTCCCACCACTACCATCATCATCCATCTCTCACCATCCACCATCACTATCCATCCCTCACCACCATCTCGATCCATCTTCTACCACCAAAGCCAGAAATCACCACCACCATTGTCTACTTCCGAACACCATTACTGTTTCTTTCTCTCCCCCAATTGATGAGGTTGAAGCCATGCCTGTTGAATGTCCAAAACAAGTATGTACACTATTGATGAACACCTGAAACCATGGTAAAAAAAACAAATGTAAAATATAAAAAAAGATGTATCAGTAAAAAAAGCGTTGATCGATTACATAGTTTATTTGATCTTAAATCCCATATCCGCACGTTTGTGTCTCTAACTTTGATTTTTTTAACGAAATCAAATTCATCAGATTTGCGATTTTAGATCTGTATGTGTCTTCATCAGATCTGCAAGATGGTGGTAGTGTAGGGCAATTTGCCGCTAGAGAGGTACCTACTCTAGACGTAATTTTCAATTTATCAAGGTTCAGAGTCAAAATCAATCCCATGAATCTCTTGATAGAGAGAAAAAAAAATTAAATCCACTAATTCTGTGTATGTTTCATGATCTTTGAATCGGTCAAAAATCACTTTTGCTGACATATTAAACTCACCGGAGATCTGTTCAACTAGTTGCTCCGGCTTCATATCGTGTATAGGGTATGCAGCTTCGACTTCTTGATTGTTGTTAAGCTCGTCGGGCTTTTCTTCATTTTGCCATTCCACCTGTGGCTCAAGAGCGGTATTTCTGATTTTTCCATCATCATCTTCTTGAGATTCTTCTATAGTTTCACTTAGGGTTTCGGATTTTACAAATGTTAACGAATCAAGCTTCACTTGTAAACCGACAAGCTCTTTGGACATCGATTTCCCAACATCTCTCATAATCAGATGCAAACCCAGATGAATCGCATATCAAAGAACGAAATTATGATTTGAGCAACAAAAATATTACAATTAAGAAGATGAAGAAATGAAGGTGTACTTGAATGGTGTTTAGCTTTAGGAGAAAACTCACAGACTGTATCATCAACACAATTACATTAGGTATTACACGTGGCTATTGAATTGGCATCTAAAGTTGCTGATTATGATGGGTGTCACCGGGTGACCCCTTCAAATTTGCTAAAAGAACATTTTAAAACCTAAAAAAACAAGTTCATGCCCTTCAAATACAAAAAATAGTCACGAGGGACCATTTAAATCAATATACTAAAGTTTATTGGGTTATAGTAACAATAACCCTTTTAAAATATTAGTTACGAGTTAATATTATTAAATGTTTGTACATAAATAAAAGGTAAGTCCATATTATTAAATGTTTATATTAAAAACTTCAACCTTTGGCTGACCACTAGTTTTAATAAATTTATAAGATTTTTAAAGAGAATCTTTTTAGTGGGTGTTAATTCAAATGCCATATATCGTGATTTTTGATGTAATTATCATTTTTATTTCTAAACTTCTTTGGTTACCATCAATTTATTAAATTATTAGAAAATTTTAAATTATAAGTTGATAAAATTAACTATTTGCCAAAAACTTTCCAATTAATAAAACAACACATTTATTAATATTTATAAAAAGAATTGAGTAATCGTTTAAAAGATGGGTTGTTTATTATTATACTAGGTATGATATCCATGTATTACATGAGTTTATTTAAAAAAAAAATTAAATATGAAATTTTAACAATTTGAAAAGTTTGAATTTATAACAAAATAAGAAAAAGTTTGAATTATTAAAATTAATGAGGTTTTAATGTATTGAATATATTATATATATAAATAATTTTTAATAAATACCTTACGTATATTACCATATATATTAAATATAAAATTTTAATTTAATAAAATGAAAAATACAATAAAATATTAAATAGAAAATGCAAAATTCAAAAATTTTAGAAAATACAGTATGTCTAAATAAAAAATAAAATGACAAGTAACAAAAAATTATTTATTTATTAGGTAGTAGTTTGTTTTTATATTTGATATATTTCAAATATTGCTTATAAAATCCATGTGTATCATATTATCCGCCAACTCCAACTCCGTCGCAGGTCAAAGTGACAAGGATTATCTTCAAAATCCAATTTCCAGCAATCCGCCACGTCAGCAATTCCACTCTTATTTATTTATTTATTTAGGTTTTCCATCTATCTTCGTGGAGTGATTCCAACGTCCAATTTACAAGGAGAATTATATTATTCTGCAAATTATAACCAATAATAATAATAATAATTTTTTATACTTAATGTAATTTATTTTTTCTCCCTTTTAAAATACGTGATTATTACTAGACAAAATTGCCACAAGAATCCCCCTCACGAATCTTTTTCTAATTTTCTTCATTTCGACTTTCTCACAAGGCTTCAACGTGTGGCCATTTTTTCTTTTCTACTCACACACACTACTTCGGATATCGAACACAAGAACATCGTCGTCTTCCTCAACCCAAAAATCCCCCAATTTTCCGGAGAATCAAAGCTCTTGTTCCCAAATGTCTGCTGCTATCTCTCTCAAATTAAACCTAATTGTTTGGTGAGCTTCATCATCTTCTATAATGCTTGAAGCAATCGCTTCTTGCCATGGTCCCATGGTAAGAATCCTCAACTCCATCTTCTTCAATCTACTCTTATCTTATACCCTAATCATGAAAATCGAGAAAAAAAATTCACCCTTCGTTGGGATTAATATCCGAAGTATAAAATCGGTAATTTTTCAGTTTTTTCTTTCAGGGACATGACCTTATTGTTCATCGGAGCTCTAAAACATCCAATCACCACTCGCTAAAACACCGTTTCAGACACATTTACAATGGCCCAAATCGATACCACAAACTACTCCACACGCCGGCATTTTCCAAGTGTCGGAGGATACAATACTCTGTTCATATGTCTTCAAATCTACCAAATACTCCACCATTGTTAACCTCCTCATTTTGTGGTCGTCGACAATCTTATATCTCGAATCATAATTCCTCTTTCAGAGGAGGAAGATTTCGTATGAATGCAACACTTGACGTTGGTGGCGCCGTTGAAGTCATCAATGATTTAGGATTGGATACTTTGACGTTTTTAGCTGTTACTGTTTTGGTTGTTCCCGCTTTCAAGATTGTCAAAGCTAGCCCTGTAAGCTTAGAAAAACTTCAAACAATTTCTTCCCTTTTTACCCTTATTAGTTTTCACTCAAAAGATATAATCGTATTTCAGATACTTGGTTTCTTTTTTGCGGGAGTTGTGCTTAATCAATTTGGATTGATTAGAAATCTTACAGATGTTAAAGTTCTTTCTGAATGGGGGATTCTTTTCTTGGTAACCTCGTATAAGCTTTATCCATCTTTTTTACTTCTTAATTTAAACAATCTTTTCCAATTCTTAATTTTTATACATTGCATTTGCAGCTATTTGAAATGGGTTTAGAGCTCTCATTAGCACGTTTGAAAGCTCTTGCTAAATTCGCCTTTGGTATGGGTTTAACTCAAGTAAGAAATTTCAAATGATTATCATCAACAAAATGTATTGTATGTACTATTTATTAACCGATTATTATTTCTCTATTCTTTTGTGAAAAAGGTTGTTCTATCTACTCTTGCTTTCACAGCATTTGAACTCCCACCAAATGGAGCTATTGGAACACGAATTTTGGAGTTTCTTTTTCACTCAAGATCTGATCTGGTGAGAAGAAAATACTCAAATAGCAATAAATCATAGTTTAATTTCATACTTCTTGTCATTAATTATTGGTTTAAAAGAATTGCAGGTGAACATAAGAAGTATTGATGAAGCTATAGTCATTGGTGCTGCTCTCTCATTGTCATCTTCTGCATTTGTTTTACAGGTATTTTTGTTTATATATTGTTAACTATATTTTTCATATATAAGTAGCATAGGGTACAATATGTTAACCTAGTATGATGTAGCTTCTTGCAGAAAAAGGTGAGTTAGCAACTCGATTTGGATCAGCTACTCTTGGAATACTCTTATTTCAGGTTAGATTTAATATAATTTGTAGACTTTTAGCTTTCGTGTTTATAAATCTTGAATCTTGAATCTCGAATTAAAGATTAGTTATGAGTTATGGGTGTTGGTGTTTACAGGATATAGCAGTGGTGCCACTTTTAGTCATACTTCCAGTTTTAGAGAGCCAGGTCAACGATTTTCACTGTTGACTTTCTTTAATTTAATTTCTACTTTTACTAATGTAATTTGAATCTATTCTTTTCAGAATCCAGTGAATGAGAGTATATTGCCAATGCTTGTGAAAGAAAGCTTAAAAGCTTTAGGTGGATTGGGTATTCTTTCTCTTGGTGGGAAATTCCTTCTCAGACGTGTTTTCGAGGTAAAAACTTTTTTTTTAAAAAAAAAAGGAATCTTTTTAGTGTATTTTACAGAAGCAAATTATATATATTCATATGTTTCAGGTTGTTGCAGAAGCAAGAAGCTCAGAGGCTTTTGTAGCACTCTGTTTACTAACAGTTGCTGGAACATCACTTATAACTCAGAAATTAGGGTTCAGCGACACGGTTTGATTGATTTTTTTTACTTATTTTTTTAAAATTATTATCGTATACCTTTATGTCATTCGTGAATTTATGAAATTCTGCAGCTTGGAGCTTTTTTAGCTGGGGCTCTTTTAGCCGAAACAAATTTCAGAACACAAATCGAAGCTGATATACGACCTTTTAGAGGATTACTTCTAGGGTTATTCTTTGTAACTACAGGCACATCTATTGATACACAGGTATCCACTCGTTTTTACCTTTTTACCCTTGTACTCTCTCGTCTTACAATTCGTGACTTTACGTATCAATTGATTGCATCTTTATCGATCAAGACTTTGAAAAAAGCTGTTGTTTTTAGAGTCGTTGTTACATGAATTATAATCCATCGCTAATTAGGTTAATAAATTTATTTTGTGTATGCAGCTACTTATTCGAGAGTGGCCAAATGTATTATCACTCTTAGCAGGATTAATCGTAATTAAGACATTGATTATAACTGCAATTGGTCCACGTGTTGGATTAACTTTGCAAGAAAGTGTAAGAATAGGGTTGCTTCTTTCTCAAGGTGGTGAATTTGGATTCGTTGTTTTTTCACTTGCAAACAGGTTAGAATGTAAATATATATTCCATTCTTTTAATCATTTTTATAAAAGTTCCACTTGTTATAAAATATAAATTAACTTTTTTTTTTTTCTTTTTCTTCAGGCTAGGGGTGTTGCCATTAGAGCTTAACAAGCTTCTTATAATTGTTGTTGTGTTATCAATGGCACTCACCCCCTTACTCAATGATCTTGGAAGAAAAGCTTCCATTTTTATTGGTGAAAATGTCGATGAAGAAGATGTAAGAAAAGCTGCCATTTTTATACAATTGACAACATCCAGAGAGAAAAATCCACTATATGATAAATTGTTACAATCACATTGACAAATTCTCAACATACTGATTCTATAACTTTGATGCAGAAAACTATGGAAGAGGCGAATTTTGATGCTAGTGAACCTGTTGTAATTTTAGGGTTTGGACAAATGAGTCAAGTTCTTGCTAATTTTTTGTCAACTCCATTGGTTTCTGGTTTAGATGGGGATGCAGGGTGGCCTTTTGTTGCCTTTGATCTTGATCCATCTGTAGTAAAGGTTAGTTTTTTTTTCTCTTTTTTCTATTGTATATCTCTATATATACTAAAAATTGGTTATTATAATCAAAATTTAGGCATCAAGAAAACTTGGATTCCCTATATTATATGGGGATGGATCACGTGCAGCTGTTTTACAATCTGCTGGAATATCATCTCCTAAAGCAGTCATGGTGATGTATGAAGGAAAAGAGAGATCAGTTGAAGCTGTTGAAAGGATTCGTCTTGCATTTCCTGCAGTAATTTTTTATAAATATGAAAAAGATTTTGATTATTTTTTAAGTTAAATGGTTAAGTTAGTTGATATCGAATGAAAAAAACTTGAATTTACAGATACCCATATATGCTCGAGCTCAGGATATTCCACATCTTTTGGATTTGAAGGCAGCAGGGGCAACAGATGCTATTCTTGAAAATGCTGAGGTAAATTACCATTTTAGTCCTTGGTTTTTGTAGTTTTGATTATAATAAAGTAATAGGTTTCTCTTGCGAATTTTGTACTTATTTAAGATTCTTGTAATGTTTTTGGTCCATGTTTTAAATATAGTGGCTACTTTTGGTCCCTAAATATTTTTGATTATTGCAATTTTTGGTCCAAAAAATATAGTCATATTACTTGGAACAGGGACCAAAAATGTTAAAAAAAAACCCTGAAATGGAGTCCAAAATTGCAAAAGAAAACTTTTTTCGGACCAAATTGCAAAATAAAAAATCACTATGTTTGGCCCCTAAGTATAGCTGATTATTTTTGCAATTTTGGTCCCAAAAATATTGTCATATTACTTGGAACAGGGACCAAAAACATTACAAAAACCTGAAACGAGTCCAAAATTGCTAGAAAACTTTTTTCGGACCAAAATTGCAAAAATGATTATTTTTGGTCCCTCGGTATAGCTGATTATTGCAATTTTCGTCACAAAAATATAGTCATTACTTGGATCAGGGACCAAAAACGTTTCAAAAACCTGAAATGGGATCCAAAATTGCTAAAGAAAACTTTTTGGGATCAAAATTGCAAAATTCAAAAATGACTATTTTTGGTCCCTAGGTATAGCTGATTGTTTCAATTTTGATCCCAAAAATATAGTCATAGTACTTGAAATAGGGACTAACAACGTTTCAAAAACCTCAAACTGGGACCAAAATTGCAAAAATCAGCTATCCTCAGGGACCAAAAATGCTATTTACTTTTTTTTGGGTATATTTTATAATGTAACTATTATATATTTGCAGACAAGTTTGCAACTTGGGTCAAGGCTTTTAAAAGGGCTTGGTGTCATGTCTGATGATGTCAACTTTTTAAGTCAACTTGTTCGGGACTCAATGGAGTTACAAGCTCAAGCACTTATTGTAACCAAGGATCCAGACCCTGATGTTATGACACCAATGCAGGTACTTTCTTGTTTTTGAACAAAATGACCATTTTACCCTTCTGTCTTGAAGTGATATTGAGTAATAATCGACTGTATATTTTGAAACCACTAAAAAATGAAATTGTTAAGACATCTGTTTATATTAAGTAAAAAAGCAAAAATATGTTTTTTCGTGTTTCTTGAAATTTGCAAAGGAAATCAAGAAAGGTTGACTTTTTTTTTTTTAGGTGAGGGTGGGGGATTTAGTGACGACAAGGAAACCTGGGAAAATGCTAATTGGGAAGGAAGAATCGGTGAGAATTAGCCAATCAGAAAGAGACAGGATTTTAATGACACAAGAGAAAGTTGAAGTAGTAGCCAAAAAGAGTAGTGAGTTGACTCAAGGGGAAGATGCTAGAGGGGTGTTGTATTGTGAATTGGATGGAGATGACAATAATTCAAACCAACATTAAAAGATTGATTTGAATTTATGGGTTGTTGTATTGTTTTTCAATTTTGTTGTGAGATTGAGATATGAATTCAATTGATCAATAGAAGGTCAGAGTCATGGGATTTGTATTCAAATTATAGGGGAGAGTGAAGCGAGGATGCTATATATTTGTACATAACTGAATTCAATTTTAGCATCGCATTGATTACTCATGGGAAGTCGTAATTTTATGTATCAATTTGTGTACGTATATATCATTCTACTTTTGTTTCTTTTTATTATAAAATGTACATTTATTGTCTTATATAGATACCACTTAAACTTGGTAATTGTATTACATCAATAATAAGTTGCGTTACAAGAGTATATATACACATTTACACTCTAAACCCTCTAATATATAAATGCAATTATATATCATCTAATAGCCCCCTTCAAGCTAAGGTCGGGTAACGACCTGTAGCTTGTCTCGTAAGAAAGTAATGTAGCTTGTCTCGTAAGAAAGTAAATCGTTGTGAAGGTAGGGGTTTCGTCAACACATCTGCAATATGATCATTCGTGGAGATAAACTGAACCTTTAGTTGATGACGAGCAACCTTCTCTTTAACAAAATCAAAATCAACTTCAACGTGTTTTGTACGTGTATGGAAGACAGGATTTGCTGCTAAATACATAGAGCCTAAGTTGTCACACCATAAAGTTGGAGCAGCAGAGGTAACAACACATAACTTACATAAAAGAGTTTAAAGCCATGTGAGTTCTCCAATCGTATCAACTAAAGCTTTGTATTCAGATTCGATGGATGAGCGCGAGACAATCTTTTGTTTATGTGCACACCATGAGACAAGGTTAGAGCCAAGATAAATGGCATATCCCCCCGTGGATCGTCGATCATTCGGGCAACCAGCCCAATCAGCATAAGAGAAGGTAATCAAAAGAGTAAAGGTTGCATCCGTATAGGCATGTAAAACGGTGGCAGAGTCATTTTTAAACTATAATCCATGAGAAATAGTACCTTGAAGATACAGGAGAATTCGCTTCACGACCGACCAACGGTTTTTAGTCGGGGGATGCATGAATTGGCAGGCCTTGTTGATAGCAAAAGTAAGATCTAGATAAGATAAGGTCACATACTGAAGGGCTTCAAGAATTTGGCAATATTTGACCGGATTATCATACTCTAGACTGTCACCAAGAGATAGGTTTGCATTGGTGGTGATTGGGATTGGAACCAGTTTGGCATGAGATAGCCCTGCTCACTCCAATATTTCAAAAATGTACTTCTTTTGAGAAAGAAGAATGTCTTGTCCTGGTTTAACTATTTCAATCCCAAGAAAATAGGATAGAGGACCCATATCTTGAAGTGAAAAGGTTTGGCTAAAAGTATGAACAACATTCTCGATAACACCAGAGTTGTTTCCAGTTAGAATAATATCATCTACGTATACCAGTATGTATAATAGAAGAGCACCCTTTGAAGAGTAAATGAACAATGATGGATCGGTCTTGGATGCATGAAAACAAAGGGTTTGCAAGGCAGTAGAGAGTTGATGAAACCTTACGTGTGGTGCTTGCTTTAATCCATATAAGGATTTATGAAGGAGGCACACATGATTCGGTTTAGCAGGATCTACAAAACCTTCCGGTTGATGTAGATAAACAGTTTCATGAAGATCACCGTGCAAAAAAACATTTTGTATATCAAGTTGACGTAGTGGCCACTTTTGTATGATAGCAAGAGACAAGATAACATAAATGGTAGTTGATTTTACAACCGGACTAAAGGTTTCATGATAATCGATCATGTGTTGTTGTCGAAACCCCTTAGCAACCATACATGTTTTATACCTTATGACCCTCTCCGTTTGATCTCTTTCGATTTTGTAAACCCATTTGCAGTCAATGATATTTGATTTGGGTGAACGTGGGACCAGTGTCCATGTGTCATTCCGAACAAGATCTGAGTACTCGTCAAGCATGGTAGATCTCCATTTTGGATCATTATGAGAAACTTTGAAGGTAGCAGGTTCTGTTTCAATGGTGACATGGGTGTGATAGGTAGTTGCTTGAAATTTGGTAGTTGGTTTGGGATTAGGGCGAAGGTTTGACGGACAAGGATGTCACGATGGTGAGTTGGGTAACGTCGAGTCTGTATGAGTGGTGGTTGTGGGTTTGGTTTGTCGCTAATAAGTATGAAGCAATGATGTTCATGGAAAGGATATTGACGGAACCGATGATGAGTCGGTGTCGGTGTGGGTAGGTGGTGGTGGTGAAGTAGTGGTATGTGGGTCATCCGTAGTGAGTGGTGGTGTAGGGTAATATGAAACATAAGGATTTGATGTTGGCACTGATGATGTTGTAGGAGGCATATTGCGGTACGGGAAGCATTGTTCATGAAATCGACCATGTCAAGCAATGTAGAGTTGTTCAGACAGAGGACCGTAGCAACGGTACCCATGATGTGAAGTACTATAACCAAGAAACACACAAGGAATGGACCTAAAATCCATTTTATGTTTGTTGTAAGGATGATGGTGTGGATAACATCTACAACCGAAAACCCGTAGGAATGAAAAATTATGGGTGTGTTTGAACACAACTTCAAGGGGTGGGGGGAGGTTATTGGAGTTTGTTAAGGATGACATACAGTTGATAAGATAGATAGTCGAATCAAAATCAAAATGCCAAAAGCTTTATGGGACATGAGATTGAGCGAGCAAAGTGAGGCCAGTTTCAACAACATGATAGTGACGGTGCTCGACAAAACCATTTTGTTCACTTACGTGTGGACATGAGAGTCGATGGGTGATGGCAAGTTTTAAGAAAAACTAAGAAAGGTTACGGAATTCTCCCCCCCCCCCCCACCCCTACCCCCACCCCAGTCAGTGTGAACAGATTAGTCAGTTTGAACAGATTGGATTTGAGTCTGAAATTGACGTTCAACGGTAACCATGAATGCTTTGAATGTGTCATAAACATCAAATTTAGACTTTAACGGAAAAAACCACATGTATCTCGAAAAATGAACACATAACAGGAAATATCGATGGACATCAAAAGAGCTAAAAGGAGCAGGTCCCCAAACATTACAAAACAATAGATATAAATAAGAAGGTAACAAATTAGAAACATCAAAAGTATATGATAAAGTAAAGGACATTTAGAGAACATTGTCTTCAACAACTGAGAATGAGGATGTCCTAAGTGTTGATGCTAAATGATGGAAGAAGCGCGGTGTGACAACCCGAAATTTCCATTCTGAACAAACCATATCAAGCCAATAGATGTAGATCAATTACAATGAAAATTCATACTCCGAGTGTAAGATTAGGCAATTTTCAGGATTTACACTTAAGAAGATATTAGGAGAGTGGTTGCACTAGGGTTTTGTGCAAAATTGTTATTCCATTACTCTAAGACATTAGAGTTCGTTCCAGGAATAAAAATATTTTCTTCCAAAATATTTCAGGACTATAAATAGATTTCTGAATTAAATTAATTCATTATTCACATTTCCAACTAGAGAAAAGCCAAATTTCCTCTCACGGATCTTCGGGTTTTTATCCCAGATTGTGAGTATACTTCTCTAGTTGTGTTTTAATGCTTGTTTTATGCTTATTAACATAGATTATATGTCAAATATATGAGATCCGGGAGTTTACCGCCCAAGAACGTTCTTGGGGAGTAAACTCCAAAATGAAGCTTAAAGGCCATCTAGTCCCATTCCCTTGCCAGGCAACTATTTTAGGATAATATGTATGATCATTAGAGGCTAGAAAACAACCAAGAACACCCCTTAAATGGAGTTTACGGCCAAGGAAATGCTCTTGGGCCGTAAACACTAAATAAGGGCACCAAAGTGTGCCTAGGGTCCTCCATAGCCTTAAACAAATTCCTAGAAAGTATTCTACTTGTTTTAGGGACATGAAATCAACCTAGAAACACCCAAGTTTGGGAGTTCACGGCCCAAGGATATCTTAGGCCGTAAACTCCCTTAAATATGCCAAGAATGCTTTGAAACACCTCCTTAAGCTTGGACTTTATGTTAGACAAATACCTTAAAGTATTAAGGACCTAGAAAACATAAGGAAAGCACAAGTGTTGAAGAGTTTACGACCAAGAGTAATTCTTGGGCCGTAAACTCCTATTAAGGGGTCAAAGGACACCCTAAATCCTTCCTTAGGCCAAGAGACAATTTTGGCATGTACCTAAATGTGTTATGGACTAGTTAAAACACTTAGAACCCCATGAGTGAGGGAGTTTACGACCCAAAAGGTTCCATGGCCGTAAACTCCATAAAATGGTACCAATTGGTGCCATAAACCCTCCTAAACCCAAGTACTAAAGTCTAGATTTGTTCCTAGAAATGTTTGAGACTTGAAAGCACCATAAGAAACCTCCTAAGGGAGTTTACGGCCGTAAACTCCAAGGGAATATGGTCTATGGGCCATAAACTCCCCAAAGGAGTCAATATGGTACCCAAAAACTTGTTTAAGCCTTGAAACAATTCCCCACTAGAGTTGTGATAATTCTAAGCTCCATTTAGGCCTTGGTTGAGAGTTTACGGCCAGGAGCTTACTCCCCTGGGCCGTAAACTCCAATGATTATGGTCATTAGACCTTAAACTTCCATTAGGGGCATTGCACTCCTTTGTTGCAACCCATTAGCCTCTTAGCATTTGACCAAAAGTGTTTTCGTCGCGCTTAAATGTTATTACTTGTATAATTAGTGTTTTAATCACTAATTATTTATATACATATGTTTTCATATGTAATTAGGATCATTGTGTGTGTCTAAGTCTTCACTTGACACCAAGCACTTGTCCGATCCTTCCGTACGATAACAGTCCGTTCAATTCCAGTCACTTACTGCAGGTGAGTTCATACCCCTTAACTAATGTTTTAAACTATTTTTAAATGTTTTATGGGGGGGGGGGGATACAAGTATAATCATGCTACTTATTATGTCAATCACATGTGATTAGTAAGTAGAATTATATACTTATTACATCAATCACATGTGATTAATATATAGCATTCAAATGATTTGGCTATTCATTAGCCGTTTTACCAAACAGTTTCCTTCAAATGATTTTTATAAACATTTTATATGTTTTAAACTCCTTATTACACTGTACATCTTACTCCCTACATTACCTTTCAAACTTATTTACAACTGTGTTTCAAACAAATGTTTCCTTATACTTAAATTGTTTTATTAAACTTATGCCTTCAAATTGTTTTATAGATTGACATCAAGTCGATCTTTTCTTAGAATAATATTTAT